TAATTATTACAAAACGCAAGCAGTTTATAATGCGTTCAATTTATTTAGGTTTTTGCCTAATCAGCTTTGAGTTTTGGATGTTAGTGATTGGCGTGTCCTGGGTTTTGGTAGCTAAAGGGCAAGTCTTTTACCTGCATGGATTTAATGTTAGCCCGGCGATATAACAACCTATTGGTGTTCAATAACGGATATGGGTAGTGAATCGTAGATTTTGGTAGACAAATTTAATTACTTCGTCCGATTATTGCCCCCCTCGAGTTGCATGAAATTGTTTTGATTTTTTCCTTTAGTTTGCCTTATTGATTTTACTCACACGCTTTGATGGTACCGCTTGTAGTAATTAAAAAATAAGCGTATTCCTTGTTTTTATTCCTATTATGGGGAAGCTTTATTATCAAAGTATTTCGCTTTTTATCGTAGAAATTACGCTTTCGACGATTGGACAGGGAAACAAAAAAGTCGGTGTTCTTTTCGTTCGCTTTCCTTCGAATATTATGGTTGGTAACTGGCTGTTGGCTCTGCTGTACGATGAATTTTAGGTCAATGTTTGAAGTTTTTTATGTAATACAGATTGCAGAAAATGGAGGTGTCCAACTTGTCACTTTATGATTTGTGGCCAATTTATGGTGCGATGTTTGAAGTTCGCTTTTTTTAAGTTAGTTCAGCCAACCACACAAATTGAGTAACTCACCCTGCACGAGATCGAAGGCGTTTGTCCGTCATTGTCGAATAGTATGTTTTAACTCATGCTTCGCGAAGTGGCTTTAAGTTCCAATGAAAAACCTTTTACTCTTGTTTAAAACTGATAAATCTTTTTTTCTTGGTTTCCTCCGCTTCAAGATAGTCACTGCGGTGTAATGGACATGATTTTGTTTTTCTAGTTTACATCTAACCTATTATTTAATATGATTGCTGTTCATCAGCAGCAGCTTTTATTTTTCGTGTTGTCAAATTCATGGGTCTGTCGGGTTTTTGTTCATGTTATGGGTTATCCTTGTTTGATTATGCTAAGTCGTCATGCGGCAACTTCAAACGGCGTGTCGGGCGATTGACAGCTTGTCACCGCTGGCTTTCCATTGGCTTTTTGGCTTTTCGTCACGATCAAATAATGTTCTTTGAATGCCTTTTCGAGAGAATGGGCAATTATTCGGTCTAGTTAAGCTGTTATGAGGGAATTTATTTCATGTTTCGTCGTTTTTGTTGTGTTTTTAGAGTCGATGCTTTGTGCCTTTTTCGAACGGGTAAATGACTTGTGTCCCTTTTCACCAAGTCTGAACAGGTGTCAGTGACGTAGTTTTATTAAAACCCGGTTTGTAGTGCGGGTAAAGTTAAGCCTAGAAATTACACACAATACTGTAAACAACAGTCAGTTCGCAGGAAAATTTATACGCAGTTACTCTGACTTGTATTTATTGTGACATCAAAGGTGCTAAATAGATGCTCTGTTTTTGTTAATCCAAATGCTGCCCCGAAGCGCAGACTTGACAGAGCTTGCAATAATTTATAAATTTGAATGAAGGAAAATTACGCCAATTTGACGTCGGAAAAGGGCAATTGACTCCAACATTATGAACTGTTCCTTTGGCCTGGAGGCAGAAATATTTTAAAAATGAATTCAAAAGGCGACTCTGTTTATTGTGGAGGCTTAAGCCTTCTTCTTCTTGTCACCTATTTATCAGCTGTTATCGGCTTTTGAACACACTTTCGAGACGAGCTGCTAAAGGCATGTTGATATGTTTATTAGGATTTCATTACCAAATTGCACCTCGCAGCTTTTGGCGACAGCAATGAAGTTATAACAGCCAATTGTGATAAACAGTTCAAAGACTTTCTGAAAGCATAAATTAACGGCTTGCTCTTTTTAATAAATTCACCTGCTGGCTGGTTCGTCTTGCCCTGTGATATGGCTGTCATTTTCTTGTGCTTCTCTTTATAGTCGCCGTTGTTTATTCTTGTGTTATTGCTTTTCGCGCTCACCGCAGACAAATTATTTTAAACGCAATAAATGCACGGTTATTAAAACCGTGCTAAACAATGAAAATCGTGTAAAAATGATTCTAAATGGCTGTTAACTTGCAGTGAATGAAGTAGCTTTCGGAATGCAAGTTCCTTGTTGTGCATTGTCCATGTGCTAGCCAATCTCATTTTGTCACATGTCTCAAGTTGCGGTATAGATAGCTTAAGGTTTTAAACCAAAGAACAGTCGCCGAAAGTTTCAATATTGCAAGAAATAATACACGCAGGCGGTGGGCGGTCTATGTTTAGAAAGTTTAATAAGATAGGTAAACGACTCGGCATACAGCAAAGAGATGCAAAAGGCTTTGGTTTAGCCGATAAAATTGAAAACTCTGCGAACACTTTACCGGCAGAATTTTTCCAAGAACGTATTCTAAGCATGCGGAGAATTTGTTTTTATGTGCTTGTTTATGAAAGGGACAGAGTTCAGCGTTCACGAGGGACAGCTGTGGTCGCCATTTACGTTCCTTCGCGGCCAATAATTTACTTAGAATTGTTGACCCCTGGTATTTTATTGGTGGAGAGTCGGTCTTGCTTATTGTTCAAGAGATTAATAGCCGCTGACAGCTTCAATTGGTCCAACTGTGTCACGTTAATACTGCAGACTGGAAAGTAGTCGCCTCAAAACGCATCCGTCGTACAGAAAACGCCTCTGGAGTGCCGATCGCGTGTGGTAGCTTTCATTGCTTACTAATGATGGCTTTTGTATTTCCTGAACGCCGTGCGAGTTTACAAAAGTTTGTCAACACCCGCGTACACAGGCGGAAAACCGAGCTTTATAAAACCATAACAAACATTTGCTCAGTGGTCCAGGAGTTATTGAAGCATGTGGAAGGCCTCGAGCCACGCTTCATCTCTTCTCTGAAGTTTGTGGATGGAAGATATCAAGGAGTTAGAGCATTATCTCCCCGCAGCTTCGAAGTGCATTTATACTTGAATCAAATGGGAGTTTTTAATTTTATCGATGAGGGCTGCCCGCCCGGCTGTGCTATGTTGAAACTCAGTGATGAGCGGAAGCGCTCCATGTCTCTTTGGACAGAGTTTATAACGGCTTCTGGCTACTTGTCCGCTAGAAAAGTGCGTTCGCGGTTCATATCTTTAGTCGCGGAGGCAATACGGCGCGGAGAACTTCAGAATCGAATTCGTGTCAACGTAGACAATCATTTCTCAGCGAAACTCACAGTACTAGAGCGTTACACCGTAGAGCTGATCCCGGCGTTTCGTTGTGGCTCTATCTGGCCGCAAAACGGATGTTGTTGGCCAAATCCTGATACTATTTGGCCTCCACAGCCAGTAATAGCCGGCATTAAACTACGAGGGTTTTCGTTGCTAGCGCGAGATCCGTATCCGAGTGTCAAAGGCGCAGGGTCTGAAGGCGATGCCTGGCTACTGTGCTTCTATGACGCCGAGGACATGCTCTTCGCAAACGGCGGGCGAAGGCTGTGTCTTAGTATGTTGAAAACTTTGTACGACAAGCACCTCGATTTATCCGGAAAGCCGTTGGAATATGTTCACCTAGTGATGTTATTGCTCTATGAATGCGAGAAACATCCCAGAGAAATGGAATGGACCGACGAATCGCTGATCGATCGCATCAACGGTATTCTTCTACAGCTCGTGTCTTGCTTGCAGTGTCGAAGTTGCCCTCATTTCTTCCTTAAGGGAGTGGACTTGTTTGGCTGTAAGCCAAAGCAGGCTTTAGACACTGCGGCAAAACAGGCTTGGAATATAGCGCGAGATATCGCCACGAACCCTGGAAGTTTTGACATCCTATAGAACAACAGGAGTAGCTTGAAATTAAGGTTCTTAGGCATGCAAACTATAGAACTTTATTAAAACGTCAGTTGTTTTCCGGAGGGACATGGGCTGTTTTAATTTCAATTTAGTGTCTTCTTAATTTTGCGAATGCCTTTTTGATTAAAAAAAATGAGCATTTCATGGTTGCCCAAAGGCTCTAAAACGCAGGTGTTGAGATTTGTGTCTGTCGAGATTCAGTATGTCCCTTTTTGTATAAATTGTATCTTCCTTCGTTGGGGAGTTTGGTTGTGTGGGACAACAAGTTTGAAACAAAGGGAAAATGTAGAATCTTAAATCATGGATAAAATTATACCACAATGTGAAGAATATTTGGTATTGAAGAATATATTTTCGAAATTGTGAATATATAACTTTTTATGCTCTCTAGCTTTAGGACAAGGTTAACCACCATTTTTTTTTCACAATGAAAACAAGGAACTTGAGTGCTTCACTTACATAATAAAGGACACCTTTATGTAGCATATGGCTTTACCACTGAATCTTGAAATAAGACTGGACAGAAAATGGTTAATTTTCTAGTTTTTCTTTCTATGTCAATTTTTTGAAAGTAGTGATAAGTTACAAGCGAATACCACTTGTCGTAAAATCTCCTTGAAGTTAGTTTTAGGTTGAACAATAATATATTGTTCCTTTCGCCTGCACTTAAATCTCAACAAAACCACTTTGTACTTATATTTAGTCTGTCTGACCTTAAGGAACAATGAAATAGGTTTATTTTGAGAAAGTTTAGTTGGAGTAGGCTAAATTTAGATTGAAAATATACTTGCAGTGAAGTGCTACTGTGTAGAAACTCCGTTATGCTGTTAAAAATATAACAAGACATTGTAGCCGACTGGCGTGTGAGACAGTAACCTGCAAAAATCGTATGTCATTTGCTAGCCTCGTGTTTAAAAACCAGGTGATAAACAGGCGTTGGGTAGTAATGTTACTGGTGAGGAAAATATCATAAAAATGCTCTAAAATTTGTCTTCGGAAAAGGAGTTTTTGTGCGACAAATACACGCGCAAATATGCAAAGATATGAAATAAAGTGTTGACGCTCTAAGATATTGAGATTCGATAGAATTAAAACTCCATTGTGTTTAGTCAAGGTCACTATTTAGTAATTTATCTTTAAAGGAGCAGTCTTATGAAACCTCCCTATAATTTGAAAACCCGAAAAGCTCAGTTATTTCATTATAATATGAATTTTTAGCGATTAATAAAGCCTTTTCAATAATAATTTTAGTTAAAAGTCAATTCTAGGGCGAGAAATTACGATTTGAAAACCGTCCCTCCATTAATTTTTGAAATCACGGCCAACTTATCTTCGGTCAGCGGTCACTCCCATTGTGACGTAATTACTCAAAACACTGTTGGCGTCATTTTATATTTATAGGGAAACCTCTTGAAATTTAGTGAAATAGTCTTAGTGATATAAAAGCAATATATACGATCAAAATACTGTTTTTGAAAATTAGCCACGAGCACGGCGCGTCAAATGAGTAATCTACGTCACGCTCAAAACTCGCCCCAGTCTTCTTGAGTCTGGCAATTGATTACGTAAACTAATAGCGGCTCAAAGAAAATCGCGAATTTGACAATCTTTCCGTGTGACAATTCGGAAAAAAAATTCAGAGACGATTAACTAGTGAACATTTCAAAGTTTTATGTAAAAATACTTGGATTTTTTGGGGTCCCAAATTACTGGGAAGTTTCATAAGAGTGCTCCTTTAACCTTTTCTTGGTGCCCTTTCTTGGTCATAAATATCTCAATAGTTTTTGACACTGCTCTTGGCCTAGTTGCTGAATAAGATAATTTTGGACTGTTTTTCTTGATGTAAAATATTTTACAACTAAATTATCCAAAGAAAAGACGATTAGACCTACGTTAATACGATGAAAATTTTGAATCGTTTTTTTTCCAACGAAAACATTGATTTAGTTTCAAAGCTGAAGTCACTGAGAAATTTTTGGTCAATTAAAAGGCAGGGCTAAAAAATGCAAATATACGCCAGTTGAAGAAATGTGGCAAATAAAGCATCGGAATTCACAGGAAAAAGACCTTGGCGCGTGTAAATATTGACTCTGCGAAGCTCAAACTGAGTGAAATTGTCTGCGAGGAACCTTCTAAGCGTTAGGTGGCAGCATCTCGATTTTTTTTTTGGTTGCTTTTTTTCTTTTATTTTTTTTTTCTAAGACGATTAAAATTATCTTCAGCAAGAGGGAATTCATAGAATATTAGTTTGGGATTGGAATGGTTCACCCTTAAACCTTGAGAGAGATTAGTATCTAAATTCTCCATACAGTCATACTATTGAACCGTTCATTAAGATCAAGAGAATAAAGGAAATGATCACCCACTTAAGAAGCTTTGATTGTTGAACGAATTCACCTTGTCAGCACGAAAGGAAATGTATAGGGAGGGTTTGGAGAAAATAGATACCGATGTGGCAACGTGTAGTAAATAAACTGGGGTTTTCAAAACATGGATCGGACTGGACGATCTTGAGGTCTTTCCAAATTCGTTAAAATGAACTTGAAATCATTCACAATTTTGTCAGTACATTGCTTTTTCGAGGGCTCTAAAACAATGAATGTAAGACTCAGACAAAAAAAACTCCATAAACGTATGTACAGCAGTAACCGTTAAAGATGCTCTTACTGCGACTTTGTTACAAATGATCTTACATTGCAAGGCCTCCAACTGATGTAATGAATGCTCTTTGTCTCCAGGTCCTCATGTATATGGACTGTCTTCATGGTAAATGGCCTTTGGATGTGATTAAAGCCGTATTTTCACGAAGATATCTTTTGCAGAACTGCGCGGTCGAAGTTTATACATCAACTGGAAGTAAGCTTTGTTATTGTGTTTGTGCACGGTCATAGTTTTAAAAAATTTGGAGCTCAAAAGCATTTGATTGAGGAAGTAGCTGTGGCCTTATGGTTGATACGCTGGTCATTGGATCGATCCTCGGATCCGACCTCGGATCCGATCGATCCTCGGATCGACCTTCGGATCCGAGGGTCAATCCCTGGCCGGGGTAGCGGGGGTCTGTTCTTCGGCTAAACACGCTTCAATCACAGTGCCTATCTCAACCAGAAATCTAAATCATTACCAACAGACTGTTAGAAAGTTAGACGTAATGCACTGGGGGTGGGCGATGAAGGGGTTTAGCTCTGATGGGGTAGCATCCCGTCCAAGAGGAAGCTGCTTTCATGTTGTAGAGACCGAGACAAACTCCGGTCAGCGGTGGGCCATTAGGATCGTGAGACTTCGCGTGTTGTGCCCCTCTGTTATCGGGGTCACTTAAAAACAAAATGAACCAATCACAATTTAGTAAACGAACAATGATTCCAGCTAAAGTCAACTGCCATTTTTGTAAACGAACAATGGTTCCCGCTAAAGTCAACTGCGCAGGTCAGTGCCTTAGGACCAAAGCATGCGAAGATTATAAAGAGTTTAGACGGAATTGATCGCTTGCGTCCTTTTCATCAAATTACAAGTTTTTTTATTGTGATTCCTGTATCAGAATGGAATTTTTCTCTATTTTCTGACACGATAACGTTGTCCCTGTAGACGCCAGTTCTATTTGAAATGTTTGGCTTTCTTTCTAACCTTTTTTCTTGTCCTTTTACCTTTTTGATAGCGTCCGCGGTGTTTAAATTCACCGACCAGCAGACTGTGAGAAAAGTGATTCGCGCTCTTCCACCTGTGGGAGTCGGAACATATTATGGAATACCTCAAACCAGGTACGCTAGTATTTTAGCCTTCAGCAAGAGCACTTCTGCTGGTTCTGCTTCTTTGTTTAAAGTTTACGTGATTTCTTTTTTTTTTTTTTTTTTCTGTTTGTAGGGCAGCATCATTATATTCTCCCCGCCAACTTTTCCAGAAATCCACCATGACACTGCGCTGGCAGAAAGGGGAAGTGTCGAATTTTCAGTATCTTATGTTTCTCAATACCATTGCAGGTAATCATATCGTAAATCAGTAATCTTATTCGTGTTTAAGTCTAAAAAATTTCCTCTCCTTTGCCGGGTGAGTTGCATGAATAAGCCCCTCTATTAGAACAGAGGTGCCAGTATATTGGTAATAGTTCTCGCCTTTCAATGCTGTGATTTGGGTTCTAATCTCATGTAAATAAGATTTGTTGTTGGTTCTCGCTTTCGTTCCAAGTGTTCTGATTTTCCGTCCACAAAATCCACCACACCACTCTCCAATGCGTTAGGGGAAATAGTCGATGAGAACCCCTCTTTTGGACTTGTCACTTCTGAAATCTCGTTAATTTTTGCTTTATTTTTGGTATTTGATTTTATGCGAACAAAAATTCAGTAATGTTACCGGAGCTGTTTATTTCGATCATTAAGCTTCCGGCTTGGATTATTTAAGAGCTGATACGTGTATTTTCACAACTTCTCTGGTTGAATGTCACGGTTTTGAGTTTCCGCGCATAACAAATAAATGTATAAATAAATAAATAAATAAATACGTAAATTGAAGCTCCCCCTTAGGGCCTTTCAGCCACAATGTGAACTAACTAAGTGCTTAAAAATCCCCACTGGCGGGAGGCAGACCAGTGGGCTATTCACAGAGCGAAGTCACGGAGTTGAATTCGGGGCAACCGAGAACAAATTCAGTGAGTGGCAGGGTGGAGGACTTGAACCCGGGCCACCAGATTACAAGTTCAGCACCCTAACCACTCGGCCACGCCGCCTCCTAACGTCATATGCAGCCTATTAAAACATTAAATGGGCCCTGTTTGAGCTGGGTCATCGACTGTTTTTTCTCGGCGGGGGCTTGTCTGTTCAAGGCTATTTCTATAGGGGTGAAGAATTATTTTTAGGACATAACTTATTTATTCAAGTATTCTTTCTTACCCTTGTAATGGCAGGTCGAAGCTTTTGTGATCTCAATCAGTACCCAGTGTTTCCGTGGGTTTTGACCAATTACGAGTCAGACACATTGGACCTGACTGATTCTAACAACTATAGGGACCTGTCCAAGGTAAGGTGCTCAACAAAGGATATTCGCCATTTCCTTCGCGTGCGGAGGTCATAGTGCACCGGTATCTGCAACTTTCTCCCCTTTCCACAATTAACGACGTTCCAAACTCTTGTTCTGGGTCCGAGATGAGGTACATTTGTGTGGCTGTTAGATTTGTAAATCATTGTGGGCGAAATTACATTCCTCTGCTCGAGACCGCGGATTGAAGAACGGTGTGGGTGGCCCTTAGCCTTTCTTTTTCCCATAACGATGAACAACTTCGAATTGTCATGATTAAAAATACTCTTATTAACGCAGTTTTTTCGTATGTTTTAGTGCGAACTTGAGAGCGATGGCCTTGATTGTAAATTTTTCCAGCTTTTCTCAAATACTTCCTATTTATGAAGTGTGATTTTCCATAGATATTCATCGCCAGATTGACAAAAACAAAATATTATTTTGTGCTCTTCTGTTCGTAGCCTATCGGTGTTCTTAAC